AAAAAAAAGCAGAAGTCTAACAAGACATTTGCATTTTTTATAAAGTAGAAAATGTGGCTTCTTGCTTGAGAAGCTTTATTAGTCCCGAAAAATAGGTAGCCGTCTTCGGAAGATCTTTTCTATTTATATTATTTTGTACTACCTCCTATTTTAAATAGATGTCGTTTTGGGATGTTGCACATCTATTAAGAATATTTTTTTTTTGTCAATAATAATTTTATTTAATGAAGATAGAGATGAATGTTTTGAGAAAAAGGTGAAGAGTGATTATGAAAAGACGTGATATATTTATTAACTAAATGAGGGTAATAATGGAAAAATATGTACAAAAGATCTAAAACGACATTTATTTAGTAAATAGTTAAAGCTAGAATAACATTTAAAAAAAAATAGAAGGGAGTATGTATAAACTTCACTATTTGCGTACTTATTAAGGCTGAGCATAGGACTCAGAAAATTTTGAACCGTTTCAAAAACCGAACCGGAATCATTCTGAACCGGAAAATAACCGTTGACCGTTTGACTCTCTCTGAACCGAATTTAACCGAAAAAATAATTGGTACGGTTCTGGAGATTTCACAAATATCTGTACCGAGAACCGAACCGAACTGTCTCATACCGTACCGAACCGAAGAACCGAAATTAAGAACCGAACAATAACATTAGATGTGTTATTAATAAATATATTCCCCTGCCCACGGTGGGCAGTGCCCACTAGTTTCTTTTATTTGAAAAACGTATTCTGAGAATACGTTTTTCAATTAAATTTAATTGAAAAATCTATTCTCAGAATACGTTTTTCATATAAAACAAACTAGTGGGCACTGCCCACCGTGGGCAGGTGAGTGGGACTGGTGTTATTAATATATTTTATGTCAACTTTGATCCTATATAATATAGTAGTAACTATTAACCTTCACTTAAATTTCATGTTTAGTAGTACTTGATCTACAATTGAATTTCTTCTATTATAAAATAATTATATGAAAGGTTAAAGAATACTTTTTAAGAGAAAATATTATATTTTGTTTGAATTTTAAATTTTCAATATTAGTTGCACAAATTTAGTCTTAACTAAAATTTAGAGTTACTTATAAAGTTCATTTCAAAATAAAATCTTTAATATGAGGAAGTATTGATGAATGTTAGTTTTATTAAAGCATATAAAAATTAAATAACTAAAATTTAGAGTTACTTCTAAAATTGATTTCAAAATAAAATCTTCAATATGATGAATTATTGATGGAAGTTGTTTTTTAAAGCATATAAAAATTAAAATATAACTAGGTAGTCATTCAAAAAAAGTTAAAAAGAAAAAATAAATCTCCGAAGATCCGAACCAAACCATACCGAACCGAACCGTCCCAATAGTCCCGAATACCGCACCGGACCGAACCAAAAAATAAAAAGCTCCAAACCGAACCGAACCGTCTTTTTGGTGCGGTTCCGGTAATCGAATTTTGGGATTCCGAATTTTGGTACAGTTCCGGAGATTTATCAATCTCCGAACCGTACGGACCCACACTCACCCCTAGTACTTATACTATACTCATTAATAATTTGAAACAATTATTTAAATATGCTCACATAGCATCAATTTTAAGCATTGTATTTTCATTCTTCTAAAAATTCATCACTTATGTGTTTCATTAGCCATGTTGGCTTTAGAGGAGACTTAGATTTATCTTTCCTCTGGTCTTTTTCCTATCTAGTGGCTTGTGCTAGAAGGATGTATTGTGTTCAGTTGAACACTGCCTTGTACTTTGTCTGAGTTGGTTCTATATATTTATTCGTTTTGGAAAAAAAAAAAAAAAAACTCTTCGGTAAAATTTGATCTCATCAATTCTGATTTTGGTAAATTTTTGTGCAATCACCATTCACAAGTCTGTGTTCACAAGCATCTACAATGCATTAGGTCTAGTTTTATCTATATGACATATAAATAAATCTAAGTCTTGGATAACATGGACAAAATTATATAAAATTAACAAAGTTCACTCAAATGCAAAGAAACTAATCTCTATTTGGGTCTAGAATAAACTTAAGGGATGACCGAGCCTCTTTTTCACGCTACCACATAAGCAAGACCCAGTCCAATTGTACTTGCTTTTAAGAATATATTTTTCTACACTGAGTCTTTCCTAAGTGGCATGGCATATAAATTTTTTTTAGTGAACCTAATGCATTGTGGATGCTTACATGATCAATGCTTTCTCATTCTCTCCAGTTGCAGTATGTGAAGTGAATCATCAAACAGGAAGCCAATATGGTTAGCTTCAAACTCACATGCCCAGCACTGCCATTGAGACTTAATATTATTCAGAATCCCCCCATCATTTGAGATAATAACAAGAAAAAAAAAAGGCACAATACTCATTTACAAAATGTAGTCTTCACCACGAAAGTTAGCGCCCCAACAGCAAATCTAAACACCAAATGCATTGGATAAATTATTACAAGCCAGAGTATACACCCTCCCTATGTGTATACAATCAATATATAATCATTTTCAAAGCCCATTTGATGGCCTGTATGCTGTGTAACCATTGATCCCATTGATCCCAACAGTGGGGTTCGTATACTCTGGTATACGATACGGATAGTCGCCACCGTCACTTTCCATATTATTCCTTGCGCTCACAAAACCACCGCCCATCTGCCACTGGCCTGGAACAAAAGCATCGAGCAGATAGGGCCGTGTGCCCAGCTGGGCCGGGAGAATCATATCCCTAACCGCATCATACATCCTTCCATGTTGATTCCCCTCGTTGAGCAAACTCCGGTCGTACCTGCATGATGGGGCAGGCTCAGGGTCACTGGGGAAGCTGTAATGCCTGTTGAGGTAGTGGGGGCCACCTCCAAAGCTCTCGTAGCCTGAGCTGTCCACCCGAGCCACCATCCCGTTCCCGATGCATTGCTCGTCGTCAAGCAGGTCGTTTATAATGTCCAGATGCGGAAACTCATCTGGCATCGCGTGGGCCTGGCCCTGGCCCTGGCCCACAGGGAACTTGGGACGGATGTGATCTTGGGGCCCACTTCGGCCCGGATTGTAACTCTCAACATTCGGCACGAACTTGGGATGACTTGTAATTCCCAAGGAGAGATTGGGTTCGGCCCGCTGTTGGAAAAGATGGGATTGGGATGGCGCCTGTGAGTACGAATTAACAATGGAAGTAGCACAAGGGTTTTGGGAATATGTGGTCCCACTGATAATTGCATTTCGGTAGGAATAGCTCTGGCTGGCATATGCATTGGAGGGCTCAGGGCCCAGTCGTCCAGCGGCACTCACAGAACGAGCCAAAACAGATGCAGTTTGGACAGCAGAGACAGCAGGCCGAGCACTGAGGGGTCTGGACGAGGTTTTATCATCCTGCACGGGTGCTTCCTGCGTTGGAAGCTTCCCAATCCGTTGGTGTCCAGATGTATTTACGGCAGGTTTTGGAGTTGTAAATTTATGAGGGTTGCTTGTTTCTGAAGTGGTATGAGCTGGCTTAGCAATGTCTGCCTTCGTGTCCAGATTTAGATGAGAGATTAATGGGGTGATTTTTGAAGGGCTTCTGGGTGGGGACATTACACATGCTGCACTTTTGCTACATGAATTTGCATCGCTTGGGCCTTTGCCACTCAGATTTCTCTGAAATGATCTCGATTCGTCATCCTGTAAGAGAAAAGGAGGAAGAAATAATTTATCTCATCCCCAACCAAAAACAGATTGTCTGCTCACAGTAAAAGATTGAAAATGAGGTGAATCTGTAGTGAAGGACCACTTTTCCCGAAATAACACGAGAAATTTACTAGTTATTGAAGCATAAAGTTTATGATAATTATTGAAATTTCAGCAATAGAAAATCATGATAAAAAGATTGCAAAAATTCCGACATGGATATAAAACCAAGGAACCATACATAAACACATATGATCCCAGTTCAGTATCCATTTTGGGAGTTCATCAATAAGTTTGAGAAAGAAGGTTGTCATTATATATCAAATAACATTACCATCAGAAAACAAGCTATTTTACAATTTAATCTTCCATCCAGCACAAGTTACGATATAAAAACATCACCTTTTTCCCCACTTTCTGCTGGACATCGTTAGCCACCCTATCCGGTAGAGACTGAACTGGAGCTTGAGGACGAGTACTTTGGGATGCATCATTTGAGTGCCTTGCATCTGGCACAGGTTGACTAGGTCCTACATTAACCCAATCGGTTGATCCGGAATTTAACTTGCTTTTTTGGTTCCACCCCCTGGAAAGTCGAAACAAAAAACTTTCACTCTGATAATGTTGAGAAGAATAACACAGGAAGTTGTCATATAACCAAATAACCACACAATATAATCTTTATCTTTTAAAGTTATTCCTAAAAAATTTTTTCAACAAGTTGCTACTCAAGAGGAATGTCTTTTTGAGCAAAGACAACCTCAAGTAGATACTTGTAATATATCTTTAAGGAGGTATCCATTATTTTAAAAGGCAACTGATAATTAACCCCACCCCTCTTACAGCTAGGGGTGATCCTTACAATTATCAAGGATAAGGGGAAAATGTTGACCTGCTTGGAGAGTTTTGGTTATTGTGGTAACCCAATTTCCCATTATGAGCTACACTCGCAACAGAAGAAGGAGCCGAGTCAGAGGAACAAGCTGACGAGCTATCATCCACTACTGATGGACCTTTGCTTTCCATTCCATTTTGTACAACACCTGAATTCCCACAACTACCAGATTCCATTGGAGGTTGTACTTCAGAATTATCAGTATCCGAATTGACAGGACTCACATCTCTGTCCTCTAACTCTTGTGGAGGTAGTTCGGGAGCATAATCTGCAGAATCAGACACATCAGATACATCTTCAACAACCTCAGACTTTCCGAGCTCAATTTCTGGCACTGCAGCTAACTCTTTCATCTCAGCACGACCATCTTCATCAATCTTGTCTTGACCAGTGCTCATGGTAGACTTTTCATCCCGTCCCTTGTCTTTGCCTTTGCGACTATTTCGTTTAAGTTTGCCCTGAGAATTTATGACACGTGGTGCATAAACTGTTTATTATTTATGTCAAATATTAAGGATAGGAAGTATCACGGAACCATCAGAAACATGTGCGGAATATAAGACCAGGGTCAACCAACGTCAAAGAGAAGCATTCGTAGATAATACACCAGCTTTAATTATCAACAGCAGGCAACCTATCTCTAAACCAAAATCATTAATTTCAACTGCCTAATAGACAACTAAAAATTCAGCATAAATTCCTAATGTGTTTATTCTCCTCATGAAGAACTAACTGCGTAGATATTTTCAAAATGTTAACTATAACAGACCTGTTTTTTCTTGGACTTCTTTTCCTTATCCACAACTCCACGCCTCGCTTTTTGCTCAAGATCTGCAAGCCAGGCTGCCTCCTCTTCACGAATGAGTTCTTCTTGCTTCTTTAATGCAACTTCCTCCTGGTACGCAACTTCAATTTTCCTGTTGTATAAAAAAGGTGAAGCTTAGCAGCCAGAACAAACTAAATAGCAGTGGTTGATCTTAATGGTTTTAGCACAAATGTAAGAGACGAGAAGCAGCGGGCAACACTACATGAACACTACCTGGATCAGAAAAAATAAAAATAAAATAAAAAAATAAATAAAAGAGAAGGATATGGAAAAAACAATCTACAGAATTTGATTTCAACTTCAAATCAGATAATTTATGCTTCCAAAATATAAATGTTAAGAAGTATCGACATATATTAAAAAAAAAAAAAAAAAAAAAAAAAA